ATCCCCTTGGCTTGCTGCCGGCACGTTGGGGTTTTTCCCGGTGAATGAAAGGGTTTGTTTCTTGCGCCTTCGTGTCGGGGAACGGGTCCTGACTGTAGTCTGAGCTTGAGCTGCCACCAAGGGAGCCACCAAGCTGAAGGAGGCCTATCGGGTTCGGTTAGTTTGTGGGACTTTGGGGACAGCTGATAGTTACCAAGAGGCCAAACGGAACGTGGCTCTGGCAGCGGCTGAAGCAAAAACTTGGGTGCGGAACACTGGACCAGCTCTTTATCCTCTCAAGGATACTTGAGGGTGCGTGTGAGTTTGCCAAACCAGTCTACATGTTTTTTGTGGACTTGGAGAAGTCCGGGAGTATGGGGTGTCTGGGCCATTGCTACGGGCCTTTCAATTCTTACACAAACGTTGCAAGAGCTTGGTACACATAGCCGGCCATAAGACGGACTCGTTTCCGGTGGGTGATGGACTCCACCAGGGCTTCCCTTTGTCACCGATTCTGTTCATAATTTTTAAGGATAGAATTTCTAGGTGTAGCCACGTGGCTGAAGGCTTTCACTTGGGTGGTCTCAGAATCTCATCTCTGCTTTTCGTGAATGATGTAGTTCGGGGTGATGGCCTTTGGAATGGTTCGCAGCCAAATGTGAAGCGTGGGGATGGGAATCAGCACCTCAAGTCTTAGACATAGTCCTCAGCCGGAAGAAGGTGGAGTGCCCACGCTGGGTCAGGTACGAGTTCCTGCCTACAGGGAAGAAGTGGAAAAACTTTTCAACATGGTGCAGCCAAAAACAATCTGGTCCTCAACACCACAAAAACCAAAGAAATCTCAGCCCATACAAATTAATTGGGACTCTGTGGAGAGGGTCTCTGACTTCAAGCTCCTGGGCCTGCACCTGGGTGACGACCTATCCTGGAAAATAAACACTACAGCTATGATCAAGAAGGCACAGCAGCAACTCAACTTCCTGAGAGTCCTGAAGAACAACACGTTAGCCAAGGAGCTGTTAGTGTCCTTCTACAGGTGCTCCACTGAAAGTACCTTGACATACTGTATCCCAGTGTGGTCTGCCAGCAGTAATGGTCAGGAAAAAACATCACTCCAGAGGGTCATCAACAAAGTCCAGAGGATCTACAAATGGCATAAAGAACGATTAGATCTCTTCATAGTGACATTTTACCTACCAGCTCTTCTAATCTTGCATATGAGACATAATTTCACGATTCACAAACCAGAATGGAGACAGCTCTCAAAGCCTTTTTCTACTACTACTTGAATCTGTAACTAGTAGTAGATTCTGCTCAGGCTGTCAGGACATTCATGTTCAGACATGAAGAGATTCTGGATAAAACAGAAGTTTCCCAGAGGACTATAATCTTCAGTCATGCTGCTGTTTATTGCGAAATCATAGCCTGAGGTCTGTGCCGTACTTAAGAAACAAACGCAGACAACATGAACCTGTCTCTCAAAAATGTGATCCATCCATCAGTTTTAATGACAGACGTTTTTTCAGTTACCTTGACAGAAACTTCGAATAACGAACAGAAACTACGAGGTTAACAAAGCACTGATTGTTTACAGCTCTTTCACTATCAAAGAGGAAAGGAAAGAATTTCTAGGTGTTTGTTATATCCAGCAAGAGTAATATTGATTACATATGTCTGAAACTCTAGCTCAACAGACCACAATGCCCTGGACTGTCAGCATTATTACATGCTGTGAATATAAGTAGCTTTGATCACAGTTTATGGTGTAAAAGAGAAGGAATATTGGAAAGAAAGATGAACATTGTGATATTATTTCTTCCAAACTGACCAGAAACATGCTTGTCAGACTCTCACAGCAAAGGATCAGACTCACTGTGCATGACGGCTCAGGCTAATAATGTTTGTTAGATTGTCAGTTGTTTAGTGCTTCTGTACAGTTAGGCTCAGCATCTCTATTTCAGTATAATTAATATGCAGAAAACACTATAAGTTTATTATAACCGCTGTCTGTTTTTCACTAAATTTCTGACTTTAACACAGCCTCTGCGTGTCCTCCCTTTGTGTCCTCTTCCTCTGTGAACGTGTTGCATGTGTCACAGATTCATTTTATAACAGCTTTCCCACAGTGAGTTGCATCAGCATTCATTCACAGCACATTGCAGAAGGATTCAGATTAATACAGTGATCTTATAGTCAGAATGATCCTGACAGACTGCCACTGTGAATGATCCTTCATCAGGTAAATTTTAAAGTTCAGTATTTCAAAGCAGGAGTTATGAAGAATCATGTTGAAATTAGGACTGTAACAATATGTACTTACAAAGTCAAAGTTTTTTAATTATTCTAGAATATTGGAAGACAAACAGGAAGACAAGCAGTCCATCAAACAGTCTACAGGGTCAAACATACAGAGAATTCAAACAGCAGTAAAAAAATAACTGGACACTGAAAACTTAAAGCAATGTGTGACGCAATTAAAAGGAAGCAGCGCAGTATATTCACTGAATTATCATCAATTACAACCAGAGAAAAACGACGATTTCTAAGGATTATTTTCTTAATTGCAGTTAGAGTGGCTGGTGAAGATGGAAACATACAGAATGTAAACTGTGTGATTTTGGTGAACTTTGTCAGTAACAAATGAGGTAACCTCCCCCCCAAACAACAAACAAACAACAAACAAACAAAAACAAACAAACAAACAAACAAACAAACAAACAAACAAACAAACAAACAAACAAACAACAAACAAACAAACAAACAAACAAACAAACAAACAAAAAACAAACAAAACACAGAAACAGGCTCTCTGTATTCATTAATAATTAGAAGCATGTAAACATTCTGGTCGTGGATTTTTACAGTCTTAGTTCCGCTCGCTGTCATCATGATCATGATCAATGGCGACGGTCCTGAGGTGGGCGGGGCTGTCCCTGGTGATGTCACCATGAAGGAACAGCATCTGGCACGTGTTGGTGAAACATCCCAGTACATGGTGTAGTTTCCTCTCCAGCTGTTTGACATTTGACATTTCAACATTAAGGGAAGAAGAAGAAACAGTGTTAGGTCAGGTGACCACGTGGTTTATAAATAACTAAGAGGAAGTAAGCAGGCTGTTAGAAATAGATGGCATGTGTTTAGAGTTACTGTAGTTGGGTGTAAGTGAACACACCAGCTAGCTGGTCAGCACAGCAGCGCAGCAGATGGCTGGTGATGCCGTCTGGCCCCGCCGCTTTCCTTGTGTTCACTCTCCTTAATGCCGCTCGGACGTATGCTCCGCAATGCTGGTCACCGGTCTCTCGCTGATGAGTCACTGTCCTTGGTAGTCAGGGATAGATAGCATTAGCCGCCTGGCTACCTTGAAACGGGCGTAGAACCGATTCAGCTCGTTGGTGAATGCAGAGTCAGCGTTGATCGGCGTTGTGTGTCCCTGGCTTTGTAGTCCGTAATGGTACCTAGTCCGTGCCACATACTCCGTGTGTCGCCCTGGTGGAAGCGGGACTCCACACGTTCCCGGTACTAGTGTTTGGCATCTCTCACCGCACGCCGTATGAGGCGCTTTGTAGGCGCTCATATCGCCAGTGGCGAGACCCGCGTTGTAGGAGGCGGTCCTGGCGTTCTCTGCAGTGCGGATCGATCTGTCCATCCACGGTTTCTGGTTTGGGAATGTGGTGACTCTCGCAGTGGGGATAATCTCCTCCTCCAATGGTTGTGCTGTTTTGTGCCCTTGGCCTTATCAGCACCTGTAAAGGGAGTTGTTTTCTCAAACTGCTGACGCTGAAGTAAGTTCATCTAGTTTTAGAAACTTTCACTGAACAGTAACAGTGTCACAACTAAGCACATGCATAAGCACTTAAATACTTTAAATGAGAATAACAGAAAATTTCTATTACAGGAGCAAGAGCCTGTCCCAGTAGTCGTAGGTAGAGCACACCTGGACAGGTCACCAGTCTGTCAGAGGACTCACAGAGACAGACATCAGAGTAACAAATCTATTTAAAATAAATGTAAGCTTGCTGCAGCTGTATGTATGAACATGTGTTTCTGAGTTCACCGTCCACCTCTACATCGCTTCACTGCAGTCTTACATATTTTCCCCACACCTGAAAAAAAAATTGATATTTACAAATAACAGATTCAGCTGATGCAGCCTGACTCAATCCTAAATGTTCAGCACACAGAGACACAGAGGTACTGTTTAAAGTTTAGTGTTAACCCGAGTCACTGATCATTTACAGTATTACAGAGTCTGGCAGTCTTTGCATGATGTCCACGTCACTGTAAGTATCAGATGCATTGAAGCTAATCGGGATATTTACTGTCAATCTGTGGCTGTGATTAATCACTTTACTGGAAACTTTATTAACTAGTAACTTCATCAGTCATGACAGAAGCTAATATTTCTGTGCTAACATCGTTTAACCAGTAACAGCTTTACTACAATGTAAGCTAACGCAGGGGTGGGCAAACTTTTTGATTTGTGGGTCACATTGAGTTCTAACATTTGACAAAGGGGCCGGAACAGGATCAGATAGAGGGCATGCTTTGAAAACATCACCTCATTGGGGGAAAAATACACATCTTGGGATATGGAGAAAACATGTGCTTTAATTTCCAATGAAAATGAAGAAAAGCGTTACAATAAAATCTCTGACTTCGAAATGAGTCTTTAAACACTGAAAATCAAATAAATGAACATTTTTATTTTAAAGCACTGAAGGTTCTGTTATCCTTCAGGATATCACCATCACTCTCCCGATGCAGATGTACTTGTCCTGTTCCTTTTATTCAATTTGTTTCCCCGGTGCCAAAAGTCAACAACGACCAGTGCAAGAATGAAACAGTTGCAGCAAGTCAGTCTGCGAAGCGCTCTATTTGATCCGCGCGCACTGTTTATAGGCCACCAATTGAAGTGACTTGTCAATTTTATCGAAATCCAAAACCGACGGCAGAATTCTCCGTGCAGTGCATCCAGTGACTCACTGTATTTCTTACTTTTGCTCCGGCCTCTTTCAGCGTGGCTAGTGTAGGAAATGAGTGAATGACTTGTTCAAAATCTGCCTGGAGAATAAAGCCAGCTTGGATTTGAAGGCTTTCACGTTTGTGTGCATGTCATGCACAAACTGCTCCTTCCCCTGCAGTTTCACATTGAGCTCATTCAAGTGTGAAAATACGTCCGTAGCAAACGCAAAGTCACACATCCAGCTCTTGTTGCTCAGCTCAGGAAATTCATCAGTCTTCCCCTGCTGCTCCAAAAACACGCCAATCTCCTCTTTGAGCTCCCACACTCGTTGAAACACTTCGCCCAAACTCAACCAGCGGACACAGGAGTGATAAAGCAGGTCCTGGTGATCCGCATCAGTTGCCTCCAGGAACGCAATGAACTGACGGTGCTGAAGTCCCCGTGCGCGTATGAAGTTGACGAGTTTCACCACAGGATTCACAACATGTATCAGCTGTAACACCGATTTACATAGAGATTCCTGGTGGATGATGCAGTGGAGGAAAATCACATTCTGGTCAGGGTTTTCATCTTTCACTTTATTCTGGATTCTCCTCAGCAGGCCAACGTTTTTTCCCGTTAAATCCATCTGTGGTGACGTTAACAAGCTTACTCCAGGGAAGCTTCATGTTTTCGATGGCAGCAGACACTCGTTCAAACAACTCCTCTCCCGTGTTTGTCCTTTCAGAGACTCCATTGTCAAAAACTCCTCCGTTATTTCAAAAGTTTCGTTGATTCCTCGGATAAAAATGAGGAGCTGAGCAGTGTCTTTGACATCGTTGCTTTCATCCAGTGCAAAAGAGTAAAAAGTGAATGACTTCGCCTTTTTGTTTAATATGCTGGTGATATCTTCATCTATTAGTTCTACACGGCGAGTCACTGTCCGCCGTGATAAACTGATTTTCTCAAATTTGTCTTTCGTCTCAGGGCACAAAATACCTGCTGTCTCTACCATACATTCTTTTAAAACTCGCCCTCTGACAGTGGTTTGCTGGCCTTTGCTATTTTGAATGAAAGCATAAAATTGGCTTTGGTACTTGACTCTTGCATGGCAGTTTGACAGTGAAAATAACTTTGCTGAGCCTTCAATTAGCTGCCAACTTCTCAGCAGCAGCTTCCCGTTCTTTTTTTTTTTTTTTGTGTCCCGTTTGGATCTTTAGCCATCAGAATTGTTGTCTTAAGGCCAAGAAAGATGCCAAGCGGATTTATTTTTACCAAGTGGATCATCATGGCCTTGCCATGTTGGTCCATTTGATTGACCTTTATTATAATTATGTATTTATTTTATTTTCAGTTGCTACAAACGGGGACATGACTGGGGGATAGGACAGGGAGAAAGAATGAAAGAAAGAGAGGGAGAGAAAGAAAACCAAAGGGAGAAGAGACGGTGAGAAGGGGGGGAGGGGAGAAAGTCGCACCTCGCTAGCTGTGCCATTACCAGCATACACCTCTCCCTCCATAAATGCAATTAACAATACAAAGTAATAGCTGTATTTAGTTTATCTGCTGTATCTGCTGTTTCTCAGGTAGTTGTTTACATTATATAATATATTGTGTTCAGTATACATCACTACAATGTGATTTCCAAATGTATAAATATACGGAAATCTCTTGCCGTCAATAAACAACGTTTAGGGAGCTCTATAGTATTCAATAAGAGGACCCACGTCAATTCTCGACGCGAGGGGTAGCCTGCGCGTCGATAAGTGAACCAGAGGGAGCCTGACCAGGCGTCACAATTTGACGAGTTGAGAGTGAGAACGTGTTGTGTTGGTATGTGTCGGGCTGTGAGCTGGAAAACGCCCAGCTATGTGGCTACAGAAACCATGTGTGAAAAGTGGTCAATAAAGAAAAAAAGCATGCTCGGGCATACATGGTCGGGTCTGCAGTGGTATGTTTTACAATGGGACTTCTGCTCCTGAACCTCTGCGCACAGTGTCTGCAATCAGGCTGGCACTTTCATCTTTACGCAGACTGTAAGATGTGAGGCGTGAGCGGTGTTTGTTTTTACCATAGTTCATGGTGGAGAATCGCTGCTCACATACGTATGTGGATCGAAAGATTCCATACTTGGCCTGCCTGGGGTTGAAAGTCTCCATAAATGCAGCATTTCGGCGGTATGGTTTATGCGAGTATGACGCTTATTTTGAGCGATCAAAAATAATAACATATAATTTAATTTTTAGATTTCAAGATCACAATAATCTTCCAAATTAGAACTACAGGTTAAAAAAGAACTAACATAAATAAACACTTCAGTTAAATACTTTTATTATATAAGTATATAATATATATTTTTTCCAACCATGGAGCCGCAGTATAAGGACTAAAGAGCCACATGCAGCTCTGGAGCCGGAGGTTGCCGAACCCTGATTTTATGGATGTTTCCTACAGATGGAATAAAAAACAATTAGATCTCTTCATAGTGAATTTTACCTACCAGCTCTTCTAATCCACAGTGAGATTACACAGCATATGAGACATAATTTCACGATTCACAACCAGAATGGAGACAGCTCTCAAAGCCTTTTTCTACTACTACTTGAATCTGTAACTAGTAGTAGATTTGCTCAGGCTGTCAGGACATTCATGTTCAGACATGAAGAGATGCTGGATGTAACAGAAGTTTCCCAGAGGACTATAATCTCCAGTCATGCTGTGTTCATTGTGAAATCAAAGCCTGAGGTCTGGGCCGTACTAAAAAACAACGCAGACAACATGAACCTGTCTCTCAAAAATGTGATCCATCATCAGTTTTAATGACAGACGTTTTTTAGGTTACCTTGACAGAAACTTCGAATAACGAACAGAAACTACGAGGTTAACAAAGCACTGATTGTTTACAGCTCTTTCACTATCAAAGAGGAAAGAGCTGTAGCTTTCTGACAGACACTTTACTAAGACTCATACAATGGCTTGCAAAAGTATTCGGCCCCCCTGAACTTTTCCACATTTTGTCACATTACAGCCACAAACATAAATCAATTTTATTGGAATTCCACGTGAAAGACCAACACAAAGTGGAAAACACATCGGGGATGCAGAGTTCAAGGACAGAAGAGAAGAAAGAAGGAGACGGTGAGACAGCGGAGGCTTGAAGTGAGGAGGAGTATAAACCGTGTCTGCCGTCTATCGTAATGGGAAATGTGCGCTCGTTGGCAATAAAATCGACGAGCTCTCAGCACTGGTACGGAGTCAGGGAGTACCGAGAGTGTAGCCTGATGTGTTTCACTGAATCATGGCTGCACCAGGACATTCCCGACGAGAATGCTTCCGTGGAAGGCTTCCACACTGTTCGGGCGGACAGGGACAGCATCGCTAGCAGTAAGCGTAAAGGAGGTGGGCTTGCTGTTTTAGTTACAACCGGTGGTGTAACCCTGCCAACATAACAATCAAAGAAAGGATTTGTTGCCGGACACTGAACTGTGTGCTGTTGGACTCAGGCCGTATTATTTACCCAGGGAATTCTCTCACGTCATCTTGGTGGCTGTTTATGTTCCCCCCTCTGCCCCACAGCTGCATGTGACACTATCCACTCTGCCATAGCTCGGCTACAGACTCAGCACCGAGTGCCTTTATTGTGATCTCGGGTGACTTCAACCACGTATCACTGGACAATACACTACCAACATTCAAACAATATGTGGACTGTCCCACCAGGGGAGAAAAAATTCTAGACCTACTGTATGCTAACGTCAAGGATGCATACAGCTCCTCCTCCCTCCCCCCACTTGGTAGGTCAGATCATAACCTGATTCACCTCACCCCCCACTATGTGCCAATTGTGAGGAGGAACCTGTGACCACCAGGACTGTTAGGAGGTGGTCAGAGGAGGCAATAGCGGAACTACAGGGCTGTTTCGAGGTGACCGACTGGGAAACACTCTGTGAGCCTCACGCCGAGGACATCAATGGGCTTACTGAGTGTATCACAGACTACATAACTTTCTGCACCGACTGGTGGAGTGGAAACTCCAGCAGAACAGCATGAGAGAGGTGTGGAGGGGCATGAAGACCATCGAATCTGTTTTTCAATAGATTCGACACCACAGTGTCTGCTCCACCCCACAACCTCACCTGTAGTCAGCCTGGAATCCAGAGCCACACCACTGTGCCAGCCTCTCTCTTCACATGTTGCCTCCTGTGAGATTCCTGACACCCCCCCACCCATCACCTTCACTCAATACCAGGTTGAGATGCAAATGAGGAGACTTCACTCAGGCAAGTCTGCTGGACCAGACGGAGTGAGTCCCCTTGTCCTCAAGGCCTGTGCCCCCAGCTGTGTGGAGTCTTTCATAAACTGTTTATGCTGAGTCTGAGTCTGCAGAGGGTCCCGGTGATGTGGAAGACATCATGCCTCGTCCCTGTACCAAAGACGCCTCGTCCCAGTGGCCCCCAGGATTACAGGCCCGTGGCACTGACCTCCACATCATGAAGACCCTGGAAAGGCTCATCCTGGACCAGCTGCAACCCATAGTAAGACCACATCTGGATCAGCCTTATCAGCCTCATCTCGGAACTGAGGACGCCATCATCTACCTGCTCAATCGTGTCTACACCATCTGGACCAGCCGGCGAGCACTGTGAGGGTCATGTTTTTTGACTTTTCCAGTGCTTTCAACACCATCAGGCCGACCCTCCTGGGTGATAAGTTAGCAGCGATGCAGGTGGATGCTTCTCTGGTGTCCTGGATTGTTGATTACCTGACAGGAAGACCACAATATGTACGTCTCCCACAGTGTGTGTCTGACAAGGTGATCAGCAACACAGGGGCACCACAGGGGACTGTCCTCTCCCCCTTCCTCTTCACCCTCTACACCACAGACTTCAGCCACTGCACAGAGACCTGCCATCTTCAGAAGTTTTCTGATGACTCTGCGGTGGTTGGATGCATCAGCAGGGATGATGAGACAGAATCGGGCTGTGGTCGACTCCTTTGTCACCGTCTGGTGTGAGCAGAATCATCTGCACTCAACGTGGCAAAGACCAAGGAACTGATCGTGGACTTCAGGAAGACCAGGAAACACTTGACCCCTGTTTCAATCCAGGGGGTCAGTGTTGACATTGTGGAGGACTATAAATACCTTGGAGTACACATTGACAATAAACTGGACTGGGCTAAAAACACCACAGCACTTTACAGGAAGGGCCAGAGTCGTCTCTTTTTTGAGGCGACTGAGGTCCTTCAACATCTGCCAGAAAATGCTGAGGATTTTCTATGAGTCTGTGGTGGCCAGTGCGATCCTCTATGCTGTTGCATGCTGGGGGAGCAGGCTGAGGGTCGCAGATGCCAACAGACTTAATAAACTGATCCGTAAGGCCAGCAATGTTGTGGGGATGGAGCTGGACTCCCTCAAGGTGGTGCCGGAGAGGCGGATGCTGTCCAAGATAAAGACAATGTTGGATAACACCTCCCACCCACTCCATGACATGCTGGTCAGTCACAGGAGCACGTTCAGTGAGAGACTGAGATTACCCATGATGCACCACTGAACGACACAGGAAATCTTTCCTGCCTGCGGCTCCCAGTACAACGCATCCACTTAACACACTGGTTACTGCTACTGTCATCCAGGGAAGGACGGATGTT